CTATAAAAAAAATCAAAAGATTAACTGGGTGTGGTGGCAGGTGCCTATAATCCCAGCTGCTTGGGAGGCTAAAGTGGAAGGATGACTTGAGCCCAGGAGGTCGAGGCTATGGTGAGCCACTGCACTCTAGCCTGGGCGACAAGAGTGAGACCCCCAAGTCAAAAAAAGTATGTATATATATGAAACTCAAATTTCAGTGTCCATAAATAAAATATTATTGGAATGCAGTCCTATTCATTTATTTGTGTAATATCTATGACTGTTTTCATGCTGCAACTGTGTTGAGCAGTTGCGAAAGTCTACAATATTTACTACCTGGTCCTTCACAGAAAAAGTTTGCAACTTTTAAGTTGAACTACAGCACTAGTAATAAACACTTCCAAGGGCTATTTGACTATAATATATATGTGAACTATAAAAAGGAAAATACTGCCGGGCTCGGTGGCTCAGCCTGTAATCCTCCACCTTTGGGAGGCTGAGGTGAGTGGATTGCCTGAGCCCGCGGGTTGGAGACCCGCCTGGGCAGCGAGACCTCATCTCTACAATAAATAAAAAAATCAGCTGGGCATGGTAGCGCGCGGCTGTAATTCCGGCTACTCGGAAGGCTGAGGCGGAAGGATCGCCGGAGCCCAGCAGGTCGAGGCTGCGGTGGCTGGGAGCAGCCGCTGCACTCCAGTCTGTGCGACAGAGTGAGACTCCAACTCAAAAAAAAAAAAAAAAAAGAAAATACTGAAAAACGGTGCTCTTGTGGAATTAGATTTTTTTCTTGGCGTCAGTCTCAGTCTGTCACCCAGGCTGGAGTGCAGTGGCATGCTCACAGTACCCTTAGCCTAGACCTGCTAGGCTCAAGTGATCCTTCCACTTCAGTCTTCCAAGTAGGAACTATAGGCATACGCCACCACGTCTGGCTAATTTTTTAATTTATTGTAGAGATGAAGTCTTGCCATGTTGCCCAGACTGATCTCGAACCCGTGGACTCAGGCAATCCTCTTGCCTCTGCTTGGAATTGGATTTTTCAACGTATGAAGATAATACTGGCAATGCCTCCTTGAGTGTATGCAGCTGACATTCAGCTTTCAAACCCAGATGGAATAGCAATCTCCCAATTTTACTGCTGCAAATCTTCAAGGGTCTACGCTAAAGGTAATAATAAAATCTATAGAGCAAAATGCTATCACTGGAAAATACAGCTAGGAACTAGAATAGCACTTGAAGTTGGGAAGTGTTTTCTAATGGTGTCAGAATCTTGCCTTTTAGTTAAGGTGTCCATACTTTCTAAACCCAAAATAACTGGAGCAAATGGCCCCAAAAGTCTGAGTGTGTCATGGGAGCAAGGAAACAGTATAAAACTGGGATGCATTAGAGAAATCTGATACACAACTGTGAAACTCACAGGTCAGAGAATTCTACAGAGCAGAGGGCCAAGCAGGTTAACAGATACACTTGCTGACAGTGACTTTTGACAGAGTAAAAAAGATTAAAACTACTTGCAACCTTATAGGCTTAAACAAGTTGTTATTGGACTGTGAATCTGGGAATTAAGACATTTGAAAGGTCAGGGTACCTGTACATACAGTATTCTCCTACTGTGAGCACTAAATTTAGCATCTTGATGTGTGCTATTTCTCAGAAAGTATCTAAATCAGTTTCCTAAAAACACATACACTGTTTTAAAATTAAAGTATGAGCTGGGCTCAGTGGCTCAGCCTGTAATCCCACGCTTTGGGAGGCTGAGGTGAGTGGATTGCCTGAGCCCGCGGGCTCGAGACCCGCCTGGGCAGCAAGACCTCATCTCTACAATAAATCAAAAAATCAGCCAGGCGTGATAGCGCATGCCTGCAATTCCGGCTACTCGGAAGGCTGAGGCAGAAGGATCGCCGGAGCCCAGCAGGTCGAGGCTGCAGTGGCTGGGAGCGGCCACTGCACTCCAGTCTGGGTGACAGAGTAAGACTCCAACTCAAAAAAAATAAATAAAAATTAAAATAAAAAAATTAGCCCGGTGTGGTAGCACACGCCTGTAGTTCCAGCTACTTGGAAAGCTGAGGCAGAAGGATCGCTGAGCCCAGCGGGTCGAGGCTGTGGTGGCCAGGAGCATGCCACTACACTCCAGTCTGGGCAGCAGAGTGAGACTCCAACTCAAAAAAAAAAAATTAAAGCATGCAGCGGTTCATGCCTGTAATCCTAGTACTTTAGGAGGTTGAGGTGGGAGGATCACTTGAGGCCAGAAGTCCAAGGCCAGCCAGGGCAACATAGCAAGACCCCACCTCTACCACAAAAACAAACAAAAAACAGTATGATGCTAAATTATAAACAAGTTAATGAGAACTAGGCCACACACTTATTTTTAAAATTTGCACATATATTTTAAAGACTTTTTTTTTTTGAGTTGGAGTCTCACTCTGTCACCCAGACTGGAGTGCAGTGGCACGCTCCCAGTCACCACAGCCTCGACCTGCTGGGCTCTGGCGATCCTTCTGCCTCAGCCTTCCAAGTAGCTGGAAGTACAGGCGCGCGCTACCACGCCCGGCTAGTTTTTTGATTTATTGTAGAGATGAGGTCTTGCCAAGTTGCCCAGGCAGGTCTCGAACTCGCGGGCTCAGGCAATCCACTCACCTCAGCCTTCCAAAGTGCAGGATTACAGGCTGAGCCACTGAACCCAGCTAAAGACATCTTCATACTGACTTTTACTAGTGCAATACAGACAAAAACTGAGGTTTGCATCAAAGCTAACCCTGGATGCATTCGAGGGCCTGCTCAGGAGATTTATGCTTTACCACAGAATTTGAGTACTTACCTCTGTTTCCCCCACTATTCATTATTCAGCTACCTTCCCTCAGGCTGGGAAAGTTCTCATTTCATTCAAGACTGGTTCATTAGTATATTTCTTCTTTGGAAATGTAGATATGCACAGATATCCATGGTCCTGGGCCATTTTAGAATGGTTATGTGCTCCTCAAATTCCTAATACCAGAACACACTCCTGCTGTAGCATAAACCAGCACCAACAATGTGGGAGATTGCTCATTTTTTGGTCAAATGTGAAAGAGACATGAATGGTAAGAAGCAACAGATCCTTGATGTACTAAGGAAGGCGAAATTACTATACTACGCCACAGGACTACATACTTTCAAAGAAATGTTCCTTCAACACAAATGACTTATTACTCATTCAGGCATTGCAGCAAACAGTCTCAGAATTGTCCATTTAAAAGATAATACAGGACAACCCCTTTGGCCCCCTCCCACTGTGGGAGCTTTTCTGTCCTCTCAATAAATCCTGCTTTCTAAAATATAAAAATAAATAAATATAAAATAATACAATTGGTGTAAGGTGAAAGATTTCCTTTCAATCTCAAGCTCCTATTTTCCTAATTTTCCCTTAGTACTCTTACAGTTTCCACCTCTGAAGCAAATTGTAAAAGCCAGAAGAAGCCTATTACTATATTCACATATTTTCCCATGTCCACTAGTCTCCAAAGTGGATATAAAGGGAAAAAAATGCATCACATGTGCCTGTAGGTTAAAGAGGAGAAAGCAGTAAGCATTTCCCCTGCTAACTGCCCGCCTAGACTGACAGAAGAGGAAGGCGTGTGTAAGGCTTAGCGAGAGGGAGTGCCCAAGAGGGTGCACATCAGTGCTGCTGCCCTCTGCCTTCCTGTAAACCAAAGATGAGTGAGCTTCAAGTGAAAAGATGAAGAAAGAATATCTAGCCGGGCTCGGTGGCTCAGCCTGTAATCCCGCGCCTTTGGGAAGTTGAGGTGAGTGGATTGCCTGAGGCCTCAGGTTCGAGACCCACCTGGGCAGCGAGACCTCATCTCTACAATAAATCAAAAAATCAGCCGAGCGTGGTAGCGCATGCCTGTAATTCCGGCTACTTGGAAGGCTGAGGCGGAAGGATCGCTGGAGCCCAGCAGGTCAAGGCTGTGGTGGCCGGGAGCAGCCACTGCACTTCCAGTCTGGGCGACAGAGTGAGACTCCAACTCAAAAAAAAAAAAAGAACATCTAAATACATACACACATCACTTTTTACCTCTTGGTAAACTCCTTTCCTTCCTTTGTTTCTCTGAACACGACAATCTATAAGGCATAGTCATTTAAAGCAATATTTCAGTCAGACCAGAAGAGAATTTGGAAAGAATGAACTGTCACTGAAAGCTATATATGAAAGCTATACAATCAAGCCAGGTGGGGTGGCTCATGCTATAATCTCAGCACTTTGGGAGAACCAAAGCAGGAGGACTGCTGGAGCCCAGGGATTTGAGACCAGCCTGGGCAACAAAGTGAGACCCTCGCCCCTAGAAAAATTAGCCAGGTGTGGTGGTGTGGTGGTGTGTGCTGTAGTCACAGCTACTAGGGAAGCTGAGGTTGGAGAATTGCCTGAGCCCAGGAGATCGAAGCTACGGTGAGCTGTGATCGTGCCACTGTACTCTAGCCTGGGTGATAGAGTGAAATTCTGCCTCAAAAAAATAAATAAATAAAAATAAGAAAGCTATGCAATTGACATAAACTTATTGGCAATGGGAAATTCTCAGAAAAGAATAAAAGTGAAGAGTCACCAGATTTTTGCTTAATGTTCCTTTTCCTTAAAATTAGAATGGAAAATGGGGGGGAGGGGGCCACAGGAAAGTTTGGGCTGACTTAAACCTAATAGCATCTATTATTTTACAAGCTTAGTCAGTAAGTTATGCTGCTACTACTTGCTCAAGAGGTATGATCTTGTAAGAAAATTTTCCACAGAACAGCAAAGAGGAAAAATCATGTTAAAGGAAAAAATAAACACGCAAACCATAGCAGAAACCATATTAATTATGTGTAGGAGAAAACAATTGGTCTTTTCTAAGAATAGATTTCTCCACAACTTATAAACAGATTTCCTCTTACACATATAAATCATACTTGACTTCTTCCTAATGAGTATTTTTTATATACAAAATAAGATAGAAACCAGAGGACTTCACTCACATCTGTACAGAAATATTTATAAGACAAAATACTCACGATCACAGTACACAGCAGTTATTTATTTAAATACTTGAAAAGGTCGATGATGAAAAAAATAGGTTTATCGTGAGAGTTTATATTCATTAGATTTATTTTATCATTTAAAAAAGTGCTGCCTCTAGGTTATCCTAGCCAGATATAGAACACTTCATGATACATGCAGCTACTGTTATATACTGTACTAGACACAGCCATTTATAGAATGATTTACACTTTGGGAGGAAATTTGACAGTAGTAAGGGTGACTCTTTATTGAAACTAAAAACATTGATAATATACAAATTGTTTTTCTCATTTGATTGAAAGGGCTATAAAATTCAACATACTGACAAAGGAAGCAACATAATCACATAAGTGGTGCCTCTACTAATTGCTGTTACTTTACTTCTTTCTTAAAGGAGAGCCGCACACTCAGCTACACAATTTTCTAGAGCGCATGATGGCTTCCAGACTGGCTTACCATTAAACGACTGGAAGAAAGTCATGTTGGTAAGCTGACACTGACTTGAGTGTTATTAAAAACGGAGAGAAAATGGCAAATTGTGCCTCATGTACTTATGGAACCCAAAGGAGCATTCTGAGTAAATGTGAAATAAATAAGTGATCCACAGTAAATACAATCTCTGGGCTGACTTAAACCTAGGAGAGTGAGCCAAGTGAGCACTAACAATACCATTTAGAAACGTCTAGAAAGATCATTTCCAGAACTCATAGGAATTGCGAGATCATATCTTGCTTGAATATGTACATTATTTACAAAATATTCCCTTTTGGCCTCTGAAATTTAGCCATTTTAGTTTGGCTGTTAGCTGATTTCTTTCCATATGCTAGCCAATACTGCAGTTATAACTATCATTAAAATACTCTTATGCATGAATTACAAATATTAATAAAGTAACTCTGCATGTATAAATATCTCAATATTTCTAACAGAATTTAAAGCGTTCAGAATGTACATAAAAGTAATGTTTTTGGTAGGGCCCGTATTTTTTTTTAATCATCGCTGTTTCAGCAATGCTTTGTACATAGCAAAGCCTAAAACTGCAAACACAGTAGCACCAAAACTTGCTCGAAGCCAAAACGTAGAGCTCTTGAGGTCAGCTTGTGTCACGTGCCTGCAGTCAGAAAATATAATTAATATTTAAAACATGATTAGAATGAAAACCTTCTACCACTTCTATATACTTTTAGGGAAGTATCAGCACACTTGTCAGGCTAATTGCATACAGTAATGCTTACCCAAAAAATGTACCAATACAGTCATGTATACAATTGCTTAGATAATCATTACCTTAAGAAAATGACATAATGTAGGCATTAAAAAAGATAAATGTCTGCAATTAGCTATTATACGGGAGTAGACATCTAAAATTTTACACATTTCCTTCACAAGGGAAATGGAGAAGTTAAACAAATCAACCTACCATTTTTTAATACCACCACAGTCCTTCAAAATGAGAATTAAGACTGAGTTCACAGTTTTGAGGGTCATATTCATGAAACTTAGATAATTTGCAATCTCTTGCCCCCAGGAACTGAAAGTTATTTTGTAAGCAGTTAAGTGACAAGTGACAATACTTTTCTAAGAGCAATGATTAAAGTCAACTTTGGAAACACTGAGCCCCCCAAAAATTTACCCCCCCCGAAAAAAACCCTAAAGTGTGTGGTGAGGGAAGATTTACCAGTTTGCATTCATTTGATACTGCTAATTAAGAGAAAAAAACAAAACAAACCCTGTTAGTCAGACAGGCAATGATAATGATAACAAGTAAAGGACATCATGTAACACGATGGGTTGAAAGGTAATGACATAAAAGAAGCCATATGTATGCATGACAAGAACAGGAACAGCCTGGACCACAAACTGAGTTGTGAGCATGCTCAGTTAATAACACTGCTAAGCACCCTTAAGAGTCTCAAGTATGACAGCTAACCATAAAGAGGATAAGGTTTTAAAGCAAAGGTTGGAATATCTTATTCAAGTTTCACTGAAGTATTAGTTAAGTGAACACAATTGAGGTAATAAAATATCAAAAACTTACAAAATTAAGAGCTTAGAGAGACTGTCTCAGGTTATTTTACATTTAAGTTAAACAAACATTTGAAGCAAAAGTCAGATGTCATCAAAAGAGCAAGACACTTACATATCCAAGAGTTAAGAGCCAAGAATTCAGATTGCACAAAACTACTCTGCCTCAGTAATAGTCACAAAATTATCACATTAGTTACTGTCAAATGCAACCTATACATCCCTAGAAACAAAAGTCTATAACACAAGCCAGAGTGCTCCATGCTTACCACCCTGGCAAAGCAACACACAGTACTCCCGTTTTTCATCCTCATCAGTTTCTATTAAGAAAAAAAAAATCATGCCTCACATGATTATTTCTTACAAAGCAAAGTGATAACTCTAGCCCATTCCACCTTGCAAGTTAGTTCTTTCAGCAGGCAATGTTTTATTTTAAAAAAAAAAAAAGTTTGGGAAGAGAATGCTTAAGTTTCAGGTTTTTCCAGTTGGAAAAACTCCAAGGCCTACCCATCAGTGGTGAGAAATGTTACCTGGCTTCAAGCAAAAGTGGACCATGAGATGACTCCATGAAGATGGAATCTTCTACAGAGCTGACGGCGTGCACCTGGTGAGTAATACTGCCTTCGTCGTCTGCTAACAGCATGGTACCCCACTCAGCTACCCGGGCTCTTAACCTTTTATACACATGCACATAGTTTGTAGTTCGCATCTGAGCTCACAAAAGAAGGGGACTCAAAATAACATCTCTCAATGATACATCCCACACATAAACTGAGCTGCCACCCTATATGATGTATCTCATGCTTTCTATATTTAAAATAAATGTATTCTATAGCAAATTGCCAAACTTAAAAAAAAAAAATCTATCTATGCACTCTTTGAAATCATTCACACACCAGGCAAGGAAACCTAAAGCTGTTATAGACATTCTCTAAATATCCTTCTAAGGCTGGTTTTGATATATCTGAAACACTAAGAGAAGTCCTTGAAACCAATTCCTGACAACATGTAGTAACCACAGATATTCATTCAAAATGAGGTTTGCAATTGTTAGTCACAAAGTTTACAGATGCTTTTAATTTCAGACTATGAAAAACTACAGATACACATCTGTGAAAAATTGTGTCCAATGGCCCAAACTCATAGGCCACCATGGACCTATTATGAGAGTAATAAAGTTCACAACTCCGAGTCAACAGAGATGTATGGAATTTAAAGTGAGAACATAAGCTAAAAGTGTACTAGAGCTTTTTGCTTCGGCTTTGGTCTCCCTGTGATTACGATGCATCTCCATGGACAGAAATTCTGTTTTGTTTTAAAATTTTTACAATTTATTTATTTACTGAGTTTGAGTCTTACTCTGTCACCCAGACTGGAGTGCAGTGGCACGCTCACGGCCACCCTAACGTCAACCTGCTGGGCTCCAGTGATCCTTCCGCCTTAGCCTTTCAAGTAGCTGGAACTACAGGCGTGCGCTACCATGCCCAGCTAATTTTGATTTATTGTAGAGATGAGGTCTCGCCAAGTTGCCCAGGCTGGTCTGGAACCTGCAGGCTCAGGCAATCCACTTGCCTTGGCCTCCCAAAGTGCTGGGATTACAGGCTGAGCCACCGAGTCCGGCATGTTGTGTTTTTTTTTTTTTTTTTTAATTTTTTTTTTTTGAGTTGGAGTCTCACTAGGTCGCCCAGACTGGAGTGCAGTGGCCGCTCCCGGCCACCGCAGCCTCGACCTGCTGGGCTCCGGCGATCCTTCTGCCTCAGCCTTCCGAGTAGCCGGAGTTACAGGCATGCGCCCGGCTGATTTTTTTGATTTATTGTAGAGATGAGGTCTCGCTGCCCAGGTGGGTCTCGAACCCGCGGGCTCAGGCAATCCACTCACCTCAGCCTCCCAAAGGCGCGGGATTACAGGCTGAGCCACCAAGCCCGGCTCGGCATGTTGTGTTTTAAGAAAGTATTTTCATTCATGAAATAATACATTCTGACTGATTTTATTGCTCAATTTTCTGTGGCATTTCAAGTTCAATATAGATACATTTTCAAGAGATAGATAGTTTTAAAACTTAAGTTAACAATTAACTCATAAAATATATTTCAGTGGCTCCATCAATGTTATAGGAGTTGTTTAAAACATTTTTAGACATGGAAAACTACTTAGAGAACTATTTTACACCTTTACCACATGCATTTAAAAGCTACACTACCATGCTCTATTTATAAAAAAGAAAGCATTTATAACGGATGGCACACTTGTCATTGCTCAGCTAACTGACACCATCTGCACAGAGAATAGGGTGATTTCAAATATATTCCATAAGTAAGTATCAAAAACTGATTTGTGTTTGTCATTTCAGTTCTCAAACAGAGGCAGAGTAATAGTTTCATAAAGCCGTTTCGTAGTTCATTTTAAAACTTAACCAGCAATAATCCTTCCACAATTTGAAAGCATAATTCTTTCAAAATAACTCACGTAAAGTATCATCTTAGAATAATCTTATTGCATAGTCTTTTAAAAATCTACTTTCCCTTTGAATACAAAAAAAGGTTATATACATTCATTAGAAAATACATGGAAAATAAAACAAAGTAAGAAGAAGAAAAAAAAATGACCAAGTCCTGTTACCTAAAGCAAATAATTAAAATTTCAGGTATTTTCCTTTAGATTTTTTTCTATGTAGTTTTTACATAGTTGCAAGCACAATGTGTGTAATTTATTTAATTTTATATATACAATTTCAATGGGCTATTTTAAATATATAAATATTATAAATTTTGTTTTGTTTTGTTTTTTTGAGTTGGAGTCTCACTCTGTCACCCAGACTGGAGTGCAGTGGCCGCTCCCAGCCACCGCAGCCTCGACCTGCTGGGCTCTGGCGATCCTTCCGCCTCAGCCTTCCAAGTAGCCGGAATTACAGGCATGCGCTACCACACCCAGCTGATTTTTTTATTTATTGTAGGGATGAGGTTTCGCTGCCCAGGCAGGTCTCGAACCCGCGGGCTCAGGCAATCCACTCACCTCAGCCTCCCAAAGGCGCGGAATTACAGGCTGAGCCACCGAGCCCGGCTTATTATAAATATTTTATATAATTATATAAATATATATGAAGGACTTTTGCATCAATTATGGAAACTTTTTTTTTTTTTTTTTTTTGAGTTGGAGTCTCACTCAGTCGCCCAGACTGGAGTGCAGCAGCCGCTCCCGGCTACCGCAGCCTCGACCTGCTGGGCTCCGGCGATCCTTCCGCCTCAGTAGCCGGAATTACAGGCATGCACTACCACGCCCGGCTAATTTTTTTATTTAAATGTAGAGATGAGGTCCTGCTGCCCAGGCGGGTCTTGAACCCATGGGCTCAGGCAATCCACTCACCTCAGCCTCCCAAAGGCGTGGGATTACAGGCTGAGCCACCGAGCCCGGTGGAAACATTTTAAGTAGTTGGATTATATTTCATTCTCCGATTGCTGGCTATTTCCATTTATTGGTGGTTACAAAAAAAAAAAAAAAAAGATGGAATAGCTTTTAATGTAAGAGTTTCCTCTAGATTTAGGATTATTTTCCTTAAGCCAGACTTCCCAGAAATGAATATCACAGGGTCAAAATTGTGTGTATATGTATGTATATAGGTTCTATTTTTTACCTAGTGACATATCAGAATCTCCAAGTTTTCCTACTCCATATGGAATAAGCTCATTTAGTTCAGCAGGAACTCCTTTTAGAACATAATAAATCATGACCAAATCCTGGAAGAATATGACCCTAATTAATCATTTGCAGCTTGCCACAGCTTTCCTCTTAAGGGAAAGTCCTGTGTCCGGGATGTTGGCTTTCTGGTTCAGAAGTGTGAAGGGCCCATAAATATTCAGCTGTCAAGCTCTCCTTGACACAGGCGTGGGAGCTAGCCAACATGTTTGGACTTGGGTAAAGATTCCACTTAATAAGGAATAGAGAAGAAAATGTTTCAAAATTTAGGCAATAAAGAGTTAAGTGAAGAACTGTGTGAACAGTCACATGAGGACTATACAGGGTGACCAGGAATTCTTGTGTATCTCTGCATAGAATACCTTAAGAAAGGCAAGCAAAATGCTTTTGATT